TCAAATTCAATTTTTGTAAGTGTCCTAAAAATGGCCATATTTCATTTTGTGGATTCTGCAAAAGTAGTTAGAATTTTAGAAAAAATGTTGCCGAAAGGATCTTTTGCAAATCGAAATCAACAAAAAAGATCTGCGGTAATTTTCGAAAATGCTCTTAAAAAGATATATTTCAAAAGTATTGAATATTTGACCTTTTGGTAAAGTGATCTAAAAATCCACAAAAAATCTGGGATATAAATATCAAGGAGCTAATAAATATTTTCTAAATTTTGATTCTAAAATCAATTTTTTATAACATTCCAAAAATGGCGATCTATTATTTCGGTGATTTTGGAAAAATGTTTCGAATTTCCGAAGAAATGTTGCCGAAAATGCCGAAATCAATAAAAATCTTAGTTTGAATTATTTTCTATTTCGAAAGTACTCTGAAAACGCTCAAAAATTTCATACGGAAAAAAAATTGAGCCTTAGGGAAAGTAGCCTAAAAAATCCACAAAAAAATCTGGGACAGATATCGACATTTTGATTCGAAAAGCATAGCTTGTTGACGGTCTTGGACATATATTTTCGAAATTTTCCTCTTAAAAATCGAATTTTTAAAATATCTATTAGAGGACAATATTTTATTCTGGTGATTCTGGAAATTGTTGAAATTTTCGAAGAAATGGTGCCGCAAATATTTGCGGCAAGTCGAAATTAAGCAAAAGTGATTCGGTGATTTTCGAAAGTGCTTGGAAAAAGCTGGAACAAAATTGTAATTATAAAATTGAGAGTTTTACAAAGTTGTCCAACAAATCCACAAAAAAATTTGGGATATACTTAGATATGGAAAACTGATTCGAAAAACATAGTTTGTTGATGGTCCCAGATCTAGATTTTTGAAATTTTGGTTTCAATATCACATTTTTTAAATATACCAAATATGGCCATCTCATTTCGGTGATTCTGGAAAAGTTGTTAAAATTTTCGTAGAAATGTTGCCCGAAAATATGTTCTGCATGTCGAAATTAACAAAAAATGTCTTTGGGTAATTTTCGAAGGTGCTCATATTGAAAAATTGAATATGATGATTTGGATCAAGATTTTCGTAATGTTCGGTTTCAACATCGTATTTTTAAAAAATCACAAAATTGGGCATATTTCATTTTGGTGATTCTGGAAAAATGGTAAGAATTTTCGTAAAAATGTTGCCGAAAATGTTCGAAATCAACAAAAAAATGTCTTCTGCAGGTCTAAATCAATAAAAAAAAACGTATTTGGTTGATTTTCAAAAGTGCTCGGAAAGAGATAAAAAAATACAAAAGAACGGAGGGTGAGGGAGGTATTGAAAATTTATTGAGCTTTTGGCAAAGTTAGCTAAAATACAGAAAAAAATCTGGGATATAAATCTCGAAAAACATAATCTGAGAGCCAAACCAAGATTTTCGAAATTTTTGGTTTCAAAAGCAAAGTTTTAAAATATCTTAAAAATGGTCATATTCCATTTTAGCGATTCCGGAAAAATGCTTATAATTTTCGAAGAAATGTTGTCGAAAAATCTGCAAGTCGGAATCAACAAAAAACTCTCGTTGGATAATTTTTGAAACTTTCGAATGTGTCCGGAAAACGCACGAAAATTTCGTAAAGAAAAGAAAGAGCTTCTGTTAAAGTTGCCTAAAAATTTACAAACAATTTTGATACATAAGTACATGTTGGCGTACTGATTCGAAAAAGATAGCGTGTTGATGATGGCAAGCTAAGATATTCGAAATTTCCGGTTTCAAAATCAAATTTCTTAAATATCTCAAAAATTGCCTTATTTTATTTTGGTGATTTGAGAAAATCTGTCAGAATTTTTGAAGAAATATTGCCGAGGATGTGTTCTCCTAGTTGAAATCAACACAAAACTTTTCGACCAGTTCCCGAAAATGTCCAGAAAACTACAAAAAAAAAATTTTTGGGTAATTTTCAAAACTGCTTTGAAAAAGCTCCAAAATTTCATACTAAAAAGTTGAGCTTTAGGTAAAGTAACCTAAAAAATCCACAAAAAAAAACAAGGACATAGATATCGACGTTCTGATTCGAAAAACATATCTTTTTGCGCAGATTTCTGAAAATTTCCGTTTAAAAATCGAATTTTTAAAATATCCCTAAAATGGAAATATTCTATTTTCGTGATTCTGGAAATTGTTGGAATTTTCAAAGAAATGGTGTCGAAAAGGTCTTCTACAAGCCAAAATCAAGCAAAAAGGTTTCGGTAATTTTCGGAAGTGCTTGGAAAAAGCTCAAAAATTTCTTATTGAAAAATTGAACTTTTGGCAAAGTTGCCTAAAAATCCACAAAAAATTCTACGCCATAAATATAGATGAACCAATTCGAAAAACAAGTTGTTGATAATCTTAGACAAAGATTTTCGGAATTTTAGTTTCCAAAATCAAATTTCAAAACATCCAAAAATGGCCATCTCATTTTGGTGATTTAAAAAAAGTGGTTGGAATTTTTGTAGAAACGTTGCTGAAAATGTTTTTGTGTAGGTCGAAATCAACAAAAATTTTGGATAATTTTTAGTAATAATAATAATAATACAGATTTATTGAGTAACAGAACAAAAGTTCCAAAAGACAAAGATTATACAAAAAAGAGATAAAGAAAAATAATATTAGTAAATTAAATTGTACTTAACTATATATTATTAAAGACGCCTTAAATAATAAATAAACATATGTTGCGAACAAATGAATATATATATATCTTCTAAATTGTTTTTAAATCTTCAAAAATGCTCGGAAAAAGCTCAAAAATTGCAAAAGCGAACTTTTGGCAAAGCGGCCTAAAAATCCACAAAAAAATCAGGTATAAGATGTTGACGAGCTGTTTCGAAAAACATAGCTTGCAGATAGTCCCAGACGAAAATTTAAATTTCAAAATTCAAGTTTTAAAATTTCCCAAAAATGGCCATATATACTTAGTTTTGGCGATTCTGGAAAAGTGGTTAGAATTTCGATGAACTGTGGCCGAAAATGTATTCTGCATGTCAAAATCAACAAAAAAATGTCAATGGCCAATTTTGGAAAATGCTCAGAAAAACCTCAAAAATTTCTTATTGAATATTTGAGCTTTTGACGAAGTTGGCTAAAAAATCCACAAAAAATTCTGAGATATAAATCTTGACGACCTAATTCGGAAAACATAGCTTGTTAATAGTCGCAGACCAAGATCATCGAATTTTTCGATTTCAAAATCAAGTTTTTAAAATATCCCAAAATTTGCGATATTTAAATTTGGTGATTCTAGAAAAGTTGTCAGAATTTTCGAAGAAATATTGCCGAAAATGTCTTCTTCAAGTCGAAATCAACATAAAATTTATTCGGGTAATTTTCGAAAATGCCCAGAAAACGTTAAAAAAATTTCATAATGACAAATAAGCTTAAAAGATACACAAAAAATTCTAGAGAATATAGGTAGACGAAATTTTCGAAATTTTTAGTTTCAAAATCAAATTTTTTTAAGTATCCCAAAAATGGCGATATTTCATATTGGTGATACTATAGAAAAGTGGTTGGAATTTTCGAAGCAAGAAAGAAAAAAATATCTTGGGATAATTATCAAAAGAACTTGGTAAATGTTAAAAAAAATATTTTTGAAAAATTGGGTTTTTGGTAAAGTTGCCCGACAACAAAAAATTCTGGGATGTAGATAGCGAAAACTGATTCGAAAAACACAGCTTTTGGAAAGTCCCAGACCTAGATTTTCGAAATATTCCTTTCAAAATCACATTTTTTAAGTACATATCCCAAAAACGACCAGATTTCATTTAGATAATTCTGAAAAAAAGAAATTTTGAAGAAATGTTGCTGAAAATGTCTTCTGCAAGTCGAAATCCACAAAACATATCTGTAGGTAATTTTCAAAACTGCTCGGAAAAATCTGAAAAATTTCATAATAAAAAATTGAGGTTTTGGAAAAGTTGTCTAAAAATCCACAAAAAATTCTAGGAAATGGTCTGATCTTAGACCAAGATTTTCGGGTTTGAAAATGATTTTTTTTAAATATCTCAAAAATGAACATATTCCATTTTAGCGATTCCGGAAAAATGCTTATAAGTAATTTTCGAAGAAATGTTGCCGAATGTTGAAAAGTCGGAATCAACAAAAAACTCTCTTTGGATAATTTTCGAAAAAGTTCGGAAAACGTACAAAAATTTCGTATAGAAAACCAGAATTTTTGGTAAAGTTCCCTAAAAAATCAACAACAAGAGTAAAATTTTCGAAATTTTACCCCCAAAACAGCTACATTTTACATTGGTGATTGTAGAAAACTTTTAAAAAATGTTGCCGAAAATGTCTTCTGCAGGTCTAAATCAACGAAAAAACGTATTTGCGGTTGGGGGAGGAACAGAAAATTTATTGAGCTTTTGGTAAAGTTACCTAAAATATACAACAAATTCTGGGTTATAAGTCTCGAAAAACATAACCTGGGACCCAGAAATTTTCGTTTTCAAAATTAAATTTTCAAAATATCCTAAAAATTATTGCAATATTTTGTCTTAGCGATTCTGGAAAAATAATTGGATTTTTTTTAGAAATAAAGCCAACATAACAACATCTGGAACTGAAAATCAAAAAAATCTTTTTACGTAATGTTCGAAGGTGCTCAGAAAAAGGTGGAATATTACGTACCCATAACCATGTGAGGTTCTTTAGTGTACCAAAAAAATTTAGAATATTTTCCAAGCAAAATTTCTAAGATAACACTAATTTTCGTGATATTTTCCGAAATAATTCTGTGACGTGTAAAGTGGCTTAAATACATTTTCTTAAGTAACTTCCCCCGTTCAGTTTGATTACTCTCCTTATTCTCCTCATTACTTACTACTCCCACACGACAATTACCATTCATCATTTCGCACTTTTCTTGTTTCTCTCCAACCTGCAACCCACCACTACCCATTAACACCCGTTTAAAACCCATCTCCATTCCGTCTACCGTTTCCCAGGCACTTCGACCAAACAGCGTGACAGTAAACGAACCACGTCCAACATCCGACAAACAAGAAACAGTCACGTTTCAACCTTCCAGTGTGCGTTACCGAGTGATATCAACGTGCGATGAGACGCGAAACCCGTGCTTGTGTGAACCAGTGACTCGGTGATTCACCCATTTTTACCATAAGGAGTAATGGGAATAAACAGTTCAAGGGGTGAGTGCGACAATCCTAACTCTTCCAAAAAATCACCAAACCGGTGAAAGGTCCATTTGCATTCGCGCCATAAACCCGCACTAATTAATAAATTCAATCCCCAGTGTTGTAATATCGTGTTTTTACCCATAGTTTTCACTGTTTTTGTTGTTAAATGAGGGTTCCCACACTTTTAGTTTCGTTGTAACTAGTTCGGCGATTGTTATTGTTGATTGAATGCGGAATAGATGTTCAAGAGGATGAATGATGGGCGATTTCTAAAGCGTAAATGGGGTTTACGACTTTTAAGAAATGAAAAAACGATAAATGCGACAATAATAAAAACTGTAACAATTTTGCAAACAATTAAAATGAACGTGCTGTTAGAGTTACTATGACGTCAATCAAACTGGTTTGTCGGAGATCAACTCGTATCTAGAATCTAGAAGTTAGATTATTTTGTACGAAACAATTGTGTTCCTTAATTGAAATAAATCTAGAGCAGTGGAAACACCATGTGATGCATAGAGTTGAACTCACCATCTGTGGCTATTTTTTTATTATTATTTAAACATCCTTTTGTTTGAGGATTGTGGATAATTTCGTGTAGCGTGATCAATATAACTGTTAAGATGGGTATCGGATTACTGCAAAAGTCTTTATTTGAATTTTAATGTTGCGTTTTATTTATTATTCATAAGTTACTTTGTGTAAGTAAAAGTACAGAGTGAATTTACAATTTGCATTATTAGGTATGTGAAAATAAACAGTTAAACAGTTTTTTGGGTAATTAAGAGTGTTTAATTTATGTAAATCATTCGTTATTATAGAGAGCTTAACAAAGACTAAGAATTAGTGGATTGTTAACCTAAATCTAACTCTGGTTTTGTAGTCGGTGTATGTAACAGTGGCGTTATCAATATTAGCTTAATATTGACTTTCATATTTAAGAACAGCTAAACCGTATAACGGTTAATGGAAAATAATTGAATACAAGAATACAAACCATTCTAGACGAAAAGTGGAGGATTTAATTCAAGTTAAAATTTACCACTTTAGACATGTTTTAAGTTTCTTCTTGTCGAAATAAATCTACACATATTAAGAAAAAAAGGCAAAGTGTAGCCCCGCCCACCCGCCCTATCTCAATTGTGATGATTTTTTTTTATTCGTCGTGAGCCAAGAAGGATGAGAGGGCTACTGATGATTATCACTATGAGAAGTTCAAGAAACACTTTAGGAGATACTGATTTTTGGTTTTGTAATGTTGGGGGTTAACATAGAAATGCATACAAATTTTATTTTTATAAAAAACGACACTCTTGATAATAGTAATCTTAATTATAATGAATATATCAAAGAAAAAAATATAAGTGAGGTTAGAATATTCAACGAAATTGCCTTGTGTATTATTACATCACGAGGATTATTCGTCTGCGTGCTTTAATTTTGTATATATTTTCATATGATGTAGTATTTATTTTAATTAAAATAGTACTAATAATCAGTTTTTGAGGTTCTGATTATACGCAGATTGATTCAAAAATAAACAATAAAGACTTTAAAAACTTTTATATTTTCTATATATTTTTTTAATACACGAAATTTTTCCAATAAGAATCTAAAAACATATTTAATTGCGGTGTTGTTCAACTAAAACCAAAAGTAACTAAAAAAAGTCAAGATCTCAATCATCATGAATTTTTTATTCGTTGTCAGACCGAGGGGCGGAGCGTAATTGCAAAATACATATTTCCCACCAAAATTTTGCACATGTTTTAAGTTTCTTGTTGTAAAAAGAAGACTGCGTATATTAAGAGGAAAGGACAAAATATAAGCCCCACCCACCCACCCTATCGCAGTTGTAATGATTTTTTTATTCGTTGTCACACCGCGGGGCGGAGCGTAATTGCAAAATACATATTTCCCTACAAAAATTTTGCACATGTTTTAAGTTTCTTCTTCTGAAAAGAAGACTATGTATATTAAGAGGAAATGACAAAATATAAGCTCCACCCACCCACCCTATCTCAGTTGTAATGATTTTTTTTTATTCGTCGTGAGCCAAGAAGGCGGAGCCTAACTGCAAAATGCATATTTCTTTGCAAAATTTAACTCTTTCAAGAACATATTTTATATGGTAATTTCTTGTAGAGAAATGAGGTTTTTGCAGCTAAACTCCGCCCTCGGCTCACGATAAATAAAAAAAATTATTGCAATTGCGAGAGGGTGGGTGGGCGGTCCTTATATTTTGTACTTTTTTTTAATACACGAAAACTTCTTTTTCCAACAAGAAACTAAAAACATATTTAACTACCGTGTTGTTCTATTAAAACTATAAGTAACTAAAAAAAGTCCCGATCTCAATTATAATGAATTTTTTATTCGTTGTCAGACCGAGGGGCGGAGCGTAGTTGCAAAATACATATTTCCCTACAAGAATTTCGAACATGTTTTAAGTTTCTTGTTGTGAAAATATGACTACGTATATTAAGAGGAAAGGACAAAATATAAGCCCCACCCACCCACCCTATCGCGGTTGTAGTAATTTTTTTATTCGTTGTCAGGACCGAGGGGCGGAGCATAATTGCAAAATACATATTTCCCTACAAAAATTTTGTACATGTTTTAAGTTTCTTGTTGTAAAAAGAAGACTACGTATATTAAGAGGAAAGGACAAAATATAAGCCCCACCCACCCACCCTATCGCGGTTGTAGTGATTTTTTTATTCGTTATCAGGACCGAAGGGCGGAGCATAATTGCAAAATACATATTTCCCTAGAAAAATATTGCACATGTTTTAAGTTTCTTGTTGTAAAAAGAAGACTACGTATATTAAGAGGAAAGGACAAAATATAAGCCCCACCCACCCACCCTATCGCTGTTGTAGTGATTTTTTTATTCGTTATCAGGACCGAGGGGCGGAGCGTAATTGCAAAATACAGGTTTATATTTTACCTTTTTTTCTAAATGTACATAATAGTATTCTTTGAACAACACGATACTCAAAAACATGTTTTTAATTTCTTGTAATGTATTGAAGAATTATACCCTTTTGTATGAAAAAATTGTTCTCTTTAAGGATGTCGTATCCAATTTATGTTTGTTCGAATGAAACATTGTAAATTTTTACAGATATAAATTATTTAAGAAAAAGGGAAAAACGCTTTCAAACTCAATGACTCTATTGATTAGTAGTTTTCAAGATATTTGTGTTTTTATAGAAAAAATATATTAATATATTTAAAATTCACAGCATCGTATTTTTAACGATGAAAATTTGGAATTTAATTTTTTTATGAGAACCCCTATAATTTCAAATAAAGATATGTATGTAGTGTTAAATTAAAAGAAGTGTGCTACGCGTATGTTTCAAATGATTTTTTTTTACATTTACATTACATTACATACAAAATTTCGAAAATCTTGGCCTGGAACAATCAGTAAGCTTTATTTATCGAAACAGCTCGGCGATATCTACAAATATTCCCGATTTTTTCGTGTATTTTGTTTGGCAACTTTGACCAAAGCTAAATTTTTCAGTATGAAATTTTTAAGCGTTTTCCAAGCACTTTTGATTCTTATCTAAAGACATTTTTTGTTGATTTCGAGCTGCGGAAAACATTTTCGGCAACATCTCTACGAAAATTCCAACTACTTTTTTTAAAAACACGGAAATGACATACGGCCTTTTGGGATATTTTAAAAATTCGATTTTGAAACCGACTTACGTATACCTATACTCTAAAATTGTTAAAAGTTTCATTTTTCTAGACGAAATTTTTGTGCGTTTTCCGAACAGTTTCGAAAATTATCCAAAGAGATTTTTTTGTTGATCCCGGCAGGCAGATTTTTCGGCAACATTTCCCCGAAAATTATAAACACTTTTCCGGAATCACCAAAATGGACTATGACCATTTTTAAATTTTTTAAGTTAAACTTAAAACCGAAAATTTCGAAAATTTTGTCTGGGTCCCAGAATTTTTTGTATGTTTTAGATAACTGCCAAAAGAGCTAATTTTCAATACCGCCGCTCTTTTGTTATTTTTGACTTCTTTCCGCGCATTTTCGAAAATCAACCAAATACGTTTTTTTCTTGATTTCAACCTCCAGACATTTTTAGCAACACTTTCGGAAATTTTCTAGAATCACCAAAATAAAATATAGCTCTTTTGGGGATGTTTAAAAATTTATGACCACCAACAAGCTATATTTTTCTATTTTTTTGTAAATTTTTTGGTGAATTTACCAAAAGCTAGGTTTTTTAATATGAAATTTTTGAGCTTTCTCCAAACATGTTGCAAAACTTTCCAAAGACATTTCTGTTTTGATTTTGACTTGCAGAAAACATTTTCGGCAACATTTCTACGAAAAGTCCAACCACTTTTAAATCACCAAAATGAGATATGATTTTTTGAATATACTAGAAATTTGATTTTCAAATCGAAAATTTCGAAAATCTTGGTCTGCGGCCATCAGCAAGGTATATTTTTCGAATGAAATATGGCCATTTTTAGGATACTTACAAAATTTGAATTTGAAACCGAAAATTTTAAAAATCTTGATCTGGGATCATCAGCGACCTACGTTTTTCAAATTACCTTGTCGATATCTGTTATAATTCAGAATTTTTTCTAGATTTTTTAGGCCACTTTGCCAACAGCTCAATTTTTCAATATGAAATTTTTAAGCATTTTCCAGGCACTTTCGAAAATTACCCAAAGAGATTGCTTTGTTGACTTCGACTTCTTGATTTTGACATTCGGCAACATTTCTTCAAAAATTCCAACCATTTTTCTAGGATCATCAAAACGAAAACTAGCCACTCTGGAATAGTGGAAAATTTGACTCTGAAACCGAAAATGTCATAAATCTTGGTCTGGGATCATTAACAACCTATGTTTTTCGAATAAGCTTGTCGACAACTGTATTCCAGAATTTTTTGTGGATATTTTACGCAGCTTTGCCAGAAGTTCAGTTTTTCAATTTGAAATTGCTGAAATTTTTTTGAGCAATTTTG